AATGTAACGCCCCAAAATATACCCTAGAATTATTAATGAATAAATAATCAATTAATCAAATTTGTTTTGATTAAAATAAATTATTGTTGGGCTTTGGGCCGATACGAAATTTGTTTTGACATCTAATATCAAAATCTGGATAAGTCTCATAGAGATAAATCTAATATGTGGACTATTTGTGTGGTCTTGATTGGGAACCTGAGTACAGACCCAAATCAAGAGTAATAAAGAACTTGTTTAGAATGTAAATATATAAATGATTTGTTGAAATAAATAATGAGAATAATTGATATGAATTAAATTAGAGAACCTTTTATGAGAGAGGTCAATTAAACCAATTTTGACTCTGTTAAAGTCAAACACCCAAAAATGTGGTATCGAAAAAAAGTATAACGAATGAATATAAAAATTATATCGTTAGATAGAGTTCGACTGTCTGATTCCAACGGTTCAATAGGGTTTCAATTCGAGGAAAGTTGGACCAAAAAGTGTTCCCCGACTGGGACCGAATTAGTCCCAATCAAGGACTTGCGTTTGAAATGGGAAGAAATCGCAGCCAGCTCCACCCAGCCGCCGAAACAGTCGAAGGAGAGCTCATCAACCTGTGTCATCTTCCTCTTCCTTCTCCTATAAAAGGCTACCATAACTGAATATTTATTGGTAGATGATTCGAAGAAATTATGGGATAATCTCCAAGAGATATGGACATCAAGAAAAGGTCCTACTGCCAAGAGCTCAATATGAATGGATCAATTTAAGATTGCAAGATTTCAAATATGTTTGTGACTATAATTATGCTATTTTCAAAGTCACGTCCACATTAAAATTATGTGGACATAATATCACTGATCATGACATGTTGGAAAAAACTTTTTCCACCATTCATACGTCAAATGTGATATTACAGCAACAAGATAGAGAAAGGGGCTTTTAAAAGTATTCTGATTCAGTATTACTTGTTGTTGAGCAGAATAATGAGCAGTTGATGAAAAATCATAACATGAGGCCTTCCGGTTGTACCCCTACAAATTTTGGTCATCCTGATCGTGGTTCAGCACCAAAATCAAATATTATCCAAGGTGGTGCACGCGGACACTTTAAACATGGATGCAGAAATAACCACAACAAAGGGCCAAATAGAGGCTATAAAAATGCAAATGGATTATCCTCCAAGGGAAAAGGGAAATTCAAACCACCACAGGCTAAAATTCATAAAAAGCCAAAACCAAGTGGTGAATGCTATAAATGTGGCATAAAAGAACATTGGGCTAATGAATGCCGAACAACAAAACATTTGGTAAAATTATACCAAGCTTCCACAAAAGGAAAAGGAAAAAATGTGGAGGCTAATTATGCTGATGATATCAATCCAATTTTGCCTAAATTTGATGTGTTCGATTTCTACATGGATGATGCTGAAATTGGTGATGAGGTGGCCTTTGGTGCTACTGTTTAATTTTTTTAAATTGTCATGTTATGGTGTGTTTACCATTAAAATAAATATTTAAAATCTGCACTTTATTTTTCATATGTACTTGTATTATTATGTACTCCATATGATTTAAAGCTTATAATAAAATGTATGATATTTGTGTTAATTATCTTAAACTTATTTATATATTTATTGGTATTCAAGATATGAAGATAACTGCTTTTGGCTCTAGTGGCAAAGAACAATGTCTAATAGACACTGCCACAACGCACACCATTTTGAGAAACAAAGAATATTTTTCTCAAATTACATTGATGGAAACTAATGTCAATACAATCTCTGGTGTTGCAAAGCTCATTGAAGAGTCTGGAATGGCTTGTTTGATCCTTCCCCAAGGAACAAAATTAATTATCAACGACACATTATATTCCAGCAAATCCCGAAGGAATTTATTGAGCTTTAAATATATGTGTCAAAATGGTTATCACATTGAAACCATGACAACAAATCAAAAGGAATACTTGTATTTAACGACAACCAAATCTGGAAATAAAATTCTTTGTGAAAAGATGCTAGCGTATTCTTCGGGGCTATATTATACTCACAATAGTCCCATTGAAGTGAATGTTGCCTCTAATAAAAAAGTTAGAGAATAGGAAAACATTCATTTTGTGGCATGACCGTTTGGGTCATCCTGACAGTGTAATGATGCACAAAATAATTCAAAATTCACTTGGACATCCATTGAAAAATATAAGGATTCAAAGATCAATTGATTTTCCATGTGTTGCATGCTCTCTTGGAAAGATGATTGTTAGGCAATCTCTAAATAAAATTGGAATTGAATCTCCTGCATTTTTAGAAAGAATTCAAGGAGATATTTGTGGGCCAATTGCCCCAGCATGTGGACCATTTCGTTATTTTATAGTGTTGATTGACGCATCAACACGTTGGTCACATGTTAGTCTTTTATCTACAAGAAATTTTGCATTTGCAAAACTCCTCGCTCAAATCATATGTTTGAGAGCTCAATTTCCGGATTATTCAATAAAGAAAATCCGACTTGATAATGCAGGAGAATTTACATCCCAATCATTTAATGACTATTGCATGTCTATTGGGTTTAACGTGGAGCATCCAGTTCCTCATGTGCACACTCAAAATGGTCTTGCTGAGTCTTTAATAAAGCGATTACAATTAATTGTTAGACCATTATTGATGAAATCCAGTTTAGCTGCATCTGTTTGGGGACATGCTGTATTGCATGCTGCAAATTTAATTCGGCTAAGGCCTACTGCAAATTATATTTTTTTCCCATTACAATTGGTAACTCGAAAAGAACCAAATATTGCTCACATAAAAATATTTGAATGTGTCGTATATGTATCAATTGCTCCACCATATCGTACAAAAATGGGTCCTCAAAGAAGGCTGTGAATTTATGTTGGCTTTGATTCTTCCTCAATTATAAAATATCTTGAGCCCATTACTCGTGATTTATTCAGAGCTCGGTTTGCTGACTGTCATTTCGATGAGACAGTATTCCCAACCTTAGGGGGAGAAAATGAGAAAAAGGACCCATGTACGAAAGATATTACATGGAATGCAACATGATTATCTTTTCTTGATTCAAGAACAAATGCATGTGAACAAGAAGTGCAAAAGATAATTCATATACAAAATGTTGAAAATCAATTGCCTGAAGCATTCACGGATTCAAAGAAAGTGAAAGAGTCACATATTCCTGCTATGAATGCTCTTGCCACAATTGAAATTCCTTCAGAGAAAAATCAAAAAACTCTTGCAAATGAGTCTTTAATACGCAAAAGCGTGGGAGGCCACTTGGTTCAAAAGATGTAAAACCAAGAAAACTTAAAAGGCAAGAGACAATGTTTGAAACAAAAGACGTTCATTCTTCAAAGAAAGAAAATGAACAAATCGAGCATGTTGATATAAAAAATAGTATCAACGAACAATTTATTTCAAATGAGGATTAAACAATCTATGAAAATGCGAATAATTGAGATGAAGATAGAAACGTTGATAATTATGAAATCTCAATAAATTATGTTTCTACGAGATTGCAATGGAACAGAAAACTTGTTCATGTTGATGATATATTCGCATATGCCATTGCCACAAACATCATGGATGAAAATGATGACATTGAGCCAACTTCAGTTAATGAATGTCGACGGAGACATGATTGGCCAAAATGGAACGAAGCAATTCAGGTAGAATTGAAATCACTTGAAAAATGAAGTGTTTTTGGGCCTATAGTTCCTATGCCAAAAGCGTGAAACCAATTGGTTTCAAATGGGTTTTTGTGCGTAAGTGAAATGAGAAAAATGAAATTGTGAGATATAAAGCCCGACTCGTTGCCCAAGATTGTTCTCAAATTCGGGGATAGATTATGAAGAAACTTATTCCCCAGTAGTTGATGCAACTACGTTGAGATTTTTGATAGGCATGTGTGTCTTTGAAAAAACTTCAAATGCGTTTAATGGATGTAGTGACATCATATTTATATGGATCTCTCGATACAGACATATATATGAAAGTTCCTGGAGGCCTTAAATTGCCTGAGGTTTATAGTTCAAAACTCGAGAGATGTTTTCCATAAAATTGAAAAAGTCACTATATGGACTAAAACAATCTGGAAGAATGTGGTATAATCGTCTCAGTGAATATCTACTCAGAGAAAGATACAAAAATGATCCAATTAGTCCATGTGTTTTCATCCGTAGATCTAAATCAGGCTTTGCCATTATTGCAGTATATGTTGATGATTTAAACATCATTGGAACTTCTGATGAAATAGAAAATACTGCAAAATATCTCATGAAAGAATTTGAGATGAAAGATCTTGGGAGAATAAAATTTTGTCTTGGTCTTCAAATTGACCATTTGAAAGACGGAATATCCACCCACCAGTCAAATTATACGAAGAAGGTTCTGAAGCGGTTTTATATGGATAAAGTACATCCTCTCACATCCCTGATGGTTGTCCGCTCTCTTAATGTACATGATGATCCGTTCCGACCTCGTGAAGATGATGAAGAAATACTCGGTCCAGAAATACCAAACCTGAGTGCTATTAGAGCTCTGATGTATCTAGAAAACAACACTCGACGAGATATTGCATTCTCAGTGAACTTCTTAGCCAGACACAGCTCGACCCCGAGTAGGAGGCATTGGAATGGCATTAAACACATTTTGCGATATCTCAATGGCACCATCGACCTTGGTTTATTCTACCGCAAAGATGCCAAGGCCACTCTTGTTGGATGCGTTGATGCAGGATATTTGTCTGATCTGCAAAAAGCAAAATCTCTAACAGGATATGTGTTTACTTATGGAGATACCGCAATATCATAGAGATTGATGAAGCAAACTTTGACTGCCACATCATCAAATCACGTGAAGTTGATAGCTCTCTACGAAGCAGGTAGAGAATGTGTATGGTTGCGATCAATGATCCAACATATCCAGAGCGAGTGCGATATAGAAACAATTACTATTTATCCGACTCCTATATATGAAGACAATATTGCATGCATTGCTCAAGTGAAAGGAGGTTACATCAAAGGAGGCCGAACAAAGCAAATACCACCAAAGTTCTTCTCAATACATGATCTCGAGAAAGATAGAAAGGTTGAGATCAAGCAAATCGAGTCCAGTGAGAACCCCGCTGATTTATTTACAAAAGCGTTGCCCCCAAAGAAATTTGAACAACTCATACAAAAGATTGGCATGCGTCGCCTCCGTCAATTATGCTAAGCTGAGGGGGAGAATTTTATGAACTGTACTCTTTTTTCCTTGATCAGGTGTTTATCCCACTTGGTTTTTTCCTGACAAGGTTTTTAACGAAGCAGTACATAAAATTAGAATGTGTTACTAAACTATGCCCATTTACGAAGTACCCATCATTAATTGAAAAATGAACATTCAAGGGGGAGTGTTATGAAATTAATGATTGTTCATTTATTTAATTAATCAGGACTACTTTGTAGAATAGTAGTCTAAGACACCCATTGATGAGTATCAATTTTGTACAGTCCTTCCCACTTGTATTTGTATTAATACTAAGCCTCTCCACTATAAATAGAGGCTTAATCCCTGCATTGTAATTACCATTAAGAATAAGAAGAAGAGTGAAGAGTTAATAGAGAGAAGAAATCAGAAATATATTATATCTATTCTCATAATCTTTGAGTAGTTTTTCTCTCATTTTATAACAAGCTTTGCAATCTTATAACTTACCTTTTTAATTATTTCAAATTTTCAATACGTTGATTCCAATTTTAATAAAGTAAAACTGTATTAACTTCGATACTTTAATTATTATAAAATAATAATTATATTAACTTCATGTTTACCATTTTATATTGCTATAATTTTGGACACTAACCATTTTAACTTCACAATTTCCATTTGTAATGGACATACTCTTTGGGTGGGAAAATGCTATATTGACTCCATGTCTTTTAAAATAAAGTACGAATCTATTTTCCTATAACCTCTCTCAAGAACTTATGGTTTAGTAAATATGCGGCAAATTATATTATACATGGAGCTGTATTTGGGAGTTCATCACCACAAATTCTATTACGCTGTTGATGGGAAATAATACGTGGCTCGGCCCACATTTCCCAATTATTTACGATGAATAATCAAATCGGGCCTGTTTCGTAAAACGAAGGAATAAAAGAATATTCCTCCAAAGATGCTCCTCATCCCTCCTATAAAAAGAGAGGTATTCCACCAAGAAGAGGAGACCAATTTCACTCCCCTCCCTATCATTTACTCTTTCTCTCTCTAGATTATGGTATATTTTTTTCTTGAAAAGCTCAAATGCTCCATTAATGGCTTCTACGCCTAAATCATGTACCATGTACACACCCCCGATATTAATAAAACTTTCTTGTTCGCAAGGTACTGCCAAAAAAGGCCCGTAGTTTTCTCCCGATTTGGGTTTCCACGTTAAATTTCAAATCCCGTGTTTATATTTTGGTATATTTTTTAGACTAGTTTATCGTTTTTGTCGGGCTAAAAACGATATACTGAGCACCATCAGCTGTGTTTGGTTGGAGGTAAGAGAAGGTAGGGTGAGGTGAGATTTAGCAGCTCGGAAATCAAATCGGGGAAGGTAGAAGAAGGTAGGGGGAGGTAGACTAGCCGCATAACAGTGAAAAAAACCAGCCCGCCGATTCTCCATTAACTCGAGGTAAGTTTAGCGTTTCCCTTCCTTGTCCTCTTTCTTCTCTTCTTCCTCCTCCTCCTCCTCCTCCTCGGATCTCACTTTTTCTTCTGTTTTTAGCGACTATTTCTTCTCGGATTTCTCGGATTTGCGACTGTTTCTTCTTCTCGGATCTCGCGGATCTCCTCCAGGCCTTCAAACCCTATTGATTGTCGACGGCTTTCTTCGTGGTCTATTTTACTTTCTTTCTCCGATCCCCACTGCCGTTTTGATTTTGCTTTCTCCCCACCTCTTCAAAGTTCAAACCCTTTCAACTTTTTTCACATTTTTTGCTATACGGAGTTTTTTTTCTTTTTTTTATTTTTTCTTGTTTTTTATTCATTGAAATATCATGCTTTGACTTTTTTCCCTTGTTTTTTATGGGTTTTTATCTGTTTTGATTTTCAGCTTTTTGAGTTTTTTGCTGTTTTCCCGGTTTTTGTTTGATTTTTTGCAAATTTTTTTTATTTTTTGAGTAAAAAACATGGGCATATAAGTAAATTTGTTATTCTACCTACCTCACATTACCTAATAAACATCCAAACGCAATTTTTTTACTTGTTACCTTACTTTACCTATCTTCAATTACCTACCATTATCTATCTAATAAAACTTTTACCTACCTCCAACCAAACATACCCCGTCTCTGGATCATGTTTTGAAAAAGAGCAATGCTAGGGATACACCTTTGGGGTAAGGTGTACCCCAAATGTACACCACACCCTTCTCCGTCACTCATTTGTATTTTATTTTTATTTATTTATTTATTTTTTGAATTTCTTGCCTTTTTTGTGGACAAGTGGGGAGTGTGGGACAAATAGTGTAGTGTACCCCTACATTTTCTTTGAAAAACAATAGAGTGCTTATCACAAAATAATCTTCACGTTAATAGATTTTCATCCGCATCACCTCACTGGCCATTCACGCGAATAATCTTTCATCAGCATCATCTCAAAGAGCCTCAGCAAACTTTGTTTACATATATGTGCATGTGTGTGCTCCTCAGTCCCTTTCCGTAACCAGCGATTCAATTTCCGTCTGGAATCAGAACCCAATTTCTGGGGTTTCCTAGCCAAAATGAGTGAAGCCAACACTGATATTGATGTGATTCATTCGTGGTCTGCACCAAGGTCTCTCAGTACCAGCCTCATGTATTCCTTTGCGCAGGTCTCTTTGTCCTCTTTTCTTTTTATGTTCTCTTTTTTTAATGGGTAGAAGGTAATGGAAGGGTATGAAAGTAGAGAGAATAGGAAGTGTAAGTTCTTGTGGAAGAATACATCGAAATTGACAGAATTTTCCCTACATTTTGACTATGGGCGATTATCCCAACCAGACAATGCCCTAATCTGCGTGGATGTTTAATTAGGATTTCATACATTTTTCTTTCTTTTTACTTTGGGATTTAAGGAAAATTAGTAGTTTGAAGGTTATGAAGGATTATGTCATACAACTTGTGCTTTACATTCACATTTTTAGTGAACTTCCTCCCAAACATACCATTATTTTCTGTCTTTTTTCATTGCCCGAAAATTGAGTTGAAATTCATGTTTGTGGTGCTACCAGTAAATTGTTCTTGTTGAAGGTAATGCTGTTGATATTTGATTTAGACTCTACCCTTGACAATGTTTGAGTTATTTTATACCTTCATTGTTTCATAGAGAGACGATACTGAAGTTCTTGACGAACCCTTGTATGCATATTTTCTCAAAGTAACCGGAGCAAAGAGGCCATACAGGGATGCTGTTCTTTCAAATATGGTAAGTCATACCTGTGTCTGTCTATAAGTGCTTGTTTATTCTTTTGTTGCTACTTGCTAGTAGCATTTAGAAGTTAACCACAGTGTATGCATTTATTTTCTGGATATATGGGATTGACATTCATCCTTATCTGTTGGCACGTGGGTTAGTAGATTTGTTTCAGTTGGCATGATCAACATTTCTGCCAGCTTAACATAATGACGTCTTCAAGCAAAGCACCATTACTCAAAAAGGAATGTCATTTCTCATTTTACCTTTTTCCTTAGATCAGCCTGCAACATTTGAATGAAGCGCACGGCAATGAAGGCATCATGTCAGTTTGCTAATTGAAGCGATTCTAGATAAACATATAGATTGGAAATTCATGTGACTTAGAGATTGTGAAGTGATTTAATTGTGTCAAAGACTCAAATTTTGAATATGAAGTCAGAGTTTCTTATTTAAGCCTGATTTCCACCAGCTGTGATTTCAAATCAAGATTTCAGTGAGGTCAAAGCTGTGTATTACACTTTACATATTATGTCACTTAATTCTTGGAGCTTTTCAATAAAAATATGGATATTTTGGGTGTTATCTGTATGTGTATTTTGAGCTCTTAGTCGAAATTTGACAGGAATGTGATGGCAATAAGGTGGTCAAAGATATAATTTTTGGCCCAGGAGAAAAGAAATTTCGGTACTGTAAGGTAACATACTTCCTGTAATATATATGGAGTAATATATAAGTTTGACCTGCCATTATGAGGGAGGCTTGTTTTAAAAAGATATGAAAGGTAGATTTAAATTAAAATCGGAAGACTAATTGTTCATCTCACATGGTTTGTTGGTTTTTAAAAAGACTACGCCCCATTTTATTTTATTTTTCATTGGGTGGGACTTGAGAGATGATATATTCCAAAAATTAGGAAAATGCGTGCATGTTGCAATGCAATAAAAACAGTATTCATTAATGGTTGACACACCTGGGGACTAGCATGGCCCACATCATGTGGAGTAGCATGACCCACACCATTAGAAATGTTGCTTAGGATAAATTATAGGTGGCATTATGGAAGGTGAGGGGCCAGGAGGAGTCCTTGTGGTGGACTAAAGATGTACTCATTAAGGATAACATAAAAATGGTATCGTTAAAAGAGCTCATGACATACTCAAAAGGGGAAAGAGAGGATTAGGAATTGGGATGAAAGAAACATATAGTGGTGCTAAATGAAAGGGCAAAAAGGAAGTGTTAGAGGCAAAGGATAAGGTTTAAGAGAAAATGTATAGGCGTTTATAACTCAATGATGGGTATACAAAAATTTACAAACTAGCAAAAGCCAGATAGAGAGGCATAGGCACCGTAGGTTATACTCTGTATTTAGGATGATGATGAGTGTGTTTTAATGGATAGCCTTCATCTGTACTAATAATCAGAGATGTCACCACATGCTTAATTCTTAGCAACGCAATGTGTTATACCCAAACCCGTGGTCTTATCAAGTACTCCATGGATAAGAAAATGGTGACTTGTGGACGACGTATAGGGAGGAAGAATTAGGGAGTATTATGAGAGGTGTTTGAGGAGTTCTTTGGGTTATTTTTATGAGGAAAATAAGATATTTAGGAGAGAATATGGAGGAGAATTCGAAATGGGAGAATTAAAATGGGAGGGATGAGGCTCTGTTCCATACGCCTGATCTAATTGAATCTGATCTGATCTGATTGGATCTGATTTTTTCTAATTAGATCTAGTGTAAATGTATTTAAATTTGATTTAAATTAAACTTAAAATTATTACAAAATTTAATAGTTTTATAGTATTACAATTCATATATACATAAAAAAAGTAAAATAAGAAAATCAGCTAATCATTGATATATTTAAACTGTTTTTTGAAATATTAAACATCTTTTTAATATCACTACTTTTTTAATCTTTGTGAAAACTAAATAATCGATATGAAAATAACCAAATATTAGAAAATATGGATGCTATTCTACAAAAATATCACATTCTATATGCATATTACATAATAATATATTTCATGTTACAAATTAAAGATCATATAAAATCTTAAACACTAATATTCCTTTCACCTCTATTAATTTTGTCATAAACTCACCCTTGTGTATATTATACCATCTTAAAATTTAAAAGTAAGTCTTTCTAAGTATAAAATATTTATGGTTTTGAAAACTAAATTTTGTATAATTATTTTATAAACAAGTATTTTAAAACAATTCTTTTTAAAGTATGAAAATTATAACTTTTTAAGCTTTAACATTGCTTCCATGCATCATTCTTACAAGCTAAGCAATTATTAAAAATAATGGTTTGTAGTTGAAATATTATAATAATAATAATATAACAATATAATAATAATTAAATTATAATATTAATTAAGATTTGGGTGTGTGTAGCTTTAAATAAAGTAATATGATTAAATTAGATAATAGTAATTATTACTTAATCTTAGAAAAATATAAATATTAATTTTTATATTTTTTCTTGATTTGATATTATTTGATAAATCTGGTCTAATCTGATCTAATTGGATCTGTTCTGATTAGGTCTGATATGATATAATCCGATCTTAATGAGAATAAGAAGAAAAAATAAGTCCTACGGAACGGACCCTAAATTTGAGTCAGTGTTAAGAGATATGACTCACTCTTATCTTAACTTGGGACTTGTTATCTTCACTCACACATTAATAATCACTACTAATGTATAAGATTAGACTCCTAACATGCACTCAAAAGTAGCCAACTTAAGAGATATTTCATCAAGAAATCGTTTGAAGAAGCATCACACTTATTCAGAGAAAACACTCTAAGAGTATTAACTTAGTTTTTAATTTCAATGGGAAAAGCTAGGTAAAAGTAAAAACATTACTATAGTGAAAATGGGAAAATAAGGAAAAAAGAAGTAACTTTTGACCATTATTTTCTACCCTAGACTTTTAGGCTTCATTTTGTCTCTCTTATTCTAGAGTTCGGCCCACCTTAGGACTAATTAGGGAGATATCCTGTTTTATTCATTATGTTTTATTTAGGAAGGAAAAATAAAAGCTATGGGCTAGTATGGTTCTGTATATCATCCTTCCTTTCTTTAGAAAAGTTTGACCTTAAACTTTTGTACCATCATAGAGGATTGATATTTTGTTGTCATCATTTAATTCCCGAGTAAATTCTCAAAATAATCATTTGTAAAAAGGCATTTTCCCAATTCAGTCCTCAATAAGTTCTAATTACCTACATGGTCTCCTTTTATAATTGAGATTTATTCCTTAGGTAGTCCTTTGTAAATAATGTTACTGAACTGATGATTAATTAAAGGGTATTTTGGTATTTCTATTATCTAAATTTAAAGTATATTCTCAAAATGGTCATTTCTATACAATTAAATGTAAAGTTAAAACAATACATTGACTATACAATGGTATACATAATCCATGAATTATTAAAAACCTATAAAAAATCTTTTAAAATTTGACCAAAATATACATCTTTAATTAGAAATTTCCATTTTGGGAAAGCACTTCATTAGACATGATCATTTTAAGAACTTATTCTAAATTTAGCTAATAAAATACCAAAATATCCCCAATTAATCATCATTTGAGTAACATTATTTACGAAGGACTCCCTAGGGAATAAATATTAATTATAGAGGACCACATAGGTAAATAAAACTTATTGAGGGCTGATTTGGGAAAACACCTTATTAGAGACCATTTTGGGAATTTACTCTTAATTCCCGGATCAAATGGGAAATTTGATGGCTCGTCCACCATATGATTTTCTATGAGAACTTGTGCCATTTTGTCATTGACACGTCTGACATCTCGTTGAACATATTACGATCTCGTCTTCCCGGGTGCAAGAATGATGATGATGGAATCCTTTGGCTCTTGAATCTGCATTTTTGCATAGAACAATTCATGTATAACTAATGAATGTTCTATTTCAAAATCAGTTATTTTGAAGGATTCCTCTTGTGCTGTTCCTTGAAAAAGATTATCATAAATAAGAAATGAATCATAATTACTTTTCGTAGATACTAAAAAGTGATCATGGATGTCATCACCTTCAGATGTTGAATTGTTCTCTAGAAGTTCATTATCATCTTTGAAAAGGTCAAAGACGTTTTCTCCGTTGTAGCTCTCTTCCTTGTCCCAAATTGGTTCTTCAAGTGGGACTTGCAGATTTGCTTATTTTTCTTTTTGGATTTCGAGGTACTCATTTCATATATGTTCATGAAGTACCTCTTCACTGGACAATTTGGAAATTTGTAGTCAGAGAGCCTTGTTTTCGAGATCCAGTTTCTTCAAAACAGCAATAAGAAAACCTTGAACCATCAATGATGCAGATTTTTTTTCTGGGCTGTTTTTTTGAGAGGGAAGGGCGTGAGAAGGGTCCCCTAGGGATGTTAAACAGTTAACTTTGATACCAAATGACAAATGTTATACCCGAACCCGGGGTCTTATCAAGTAGATAAGAAAATGGTGGATTTACGGATGACATATGGGGAGGAAGAAACTGGGGAGTATTGTGAGAGGTGTTTGAGGAGTTCTTTTGGTTATTTTTATAAGGAAAAGAAGAGATTTAGGAGAGAATATGGAGGAGAATTCGAAATGGGAGATTAAAATGGGAGGAATAAATCTGTGTCAAGGTTAAGAGGTATGACAAACTCTTATCTTAACTTGGGGCTTGTTATATTCACTCACATATTGTTTTAAAAAATACTATTAATGTATAAGATTAGACTCCTAACACGCACTCAAAAGTAGCCAACTTAAGAGATATTTCATTTAGGAAATTGTTTGAACAAGCTTCACACTTTTTCGGAGAAAACACTCGGAGAGTATTAAGTATTAATTTAGTTTTAATTTCAATTCATCATATTATACAAAGAGGAGGGTGGCCTGATTTTATTGTCACAGGGGAGTACATTTTCTAGCTTAATACATCATTATACTTAATATTCTAATAATTGCAATGGGAGAAGCTAGGTAAAAGTAGAAACATTACTTTAGTGAAAATGGAAAAATAAGGGAAAGCAAAAGTAACTTTTGAGTTTTGACCAAAATTTTCTACCCTAGACTTTTAGGCTTCATTCTCTCTTTTATTCTTGAGTTCGGCCCACCTTAGTGTTAGACGCCTCGCACACCTCTAGAGGGGGGGTGAATAGAGGTGTTGCCCAAAAGACCAGTTTTTTTCGCGGAAACGTTCTTCACGAATATTCAATAAAATCAATGCACCACAAACAAAATAAAGTGAAGGATAAGAGCAATGCACACACGATATATACTGGTTCGGCCTAAATGCCTACATCCAGTCCCCGAAGCAATCGTGCCCATGCCTTCACTAACTCGTCAAACTTAACGGAGTTTGACAATCCGAATACAACTCGAGAACTTGATTTCACAAGCCTCTTATCTTACCACCGAAGTTTTGATTTCACAAAACTTAGGATTTCTTCCACCTAACGTTTGATTTCACAAACCGTTAGGATTTCTACCACTTGGTGTAATCCCAACACCAAGAATACAAATCCCTTACAATAAAGTAAGAAAACAAACCGCAACCGAGTAATTCACCCAACACGGAGTAGATTGTTGCAAATACAATGAAGCCCTTTAGAATATGGCAATATCTCTCAAAGACTCAAGCAATGAGGAAAAACTCAAGCAAGAAATGATTTAGCAATCAAAACAATTGCCTTGCTTGGATATAAGGAGGGGATTGAGTAGAATCTCTTTGGATATTCAAAGGATATATTTTTCAAAGTGTTCTAAGTGCTCTTATGAAGAAAATCACGAAAGTAGGAGGTTTATAGAAGTTAGGGAGTGGATAGGGATGAAAAGCATTCAAAAAACTAGCCGTTTGGTAGTTGAAACTGTCGAACTATTCGACTAAGTCAAGACTTAGTCGACTAGTTTTGGTGAAACTGCAATCTGACTTATTCAACTAGTTCTGGATTTATTCAACTAAGTCAGAATAGAATTTCAGGGATTTAGTCGAATAGTTTGCTGAAAAAAAATGTGTTTTAAAGGTAGGATGATAAGGGAATGAACCTTAGAGATGCCATACTCTTTAACACAAAATCTAAGACCTATAACACTACCCAACTAAGGAAACAACCTCTTTGGTCTCGTTCCTTCCACTGATGCTCAAGTCCCTTCTTCACGGACGGATATGAACTTGTTGTAGCTTTGATTCCTAGCCTTGATGCACAAAATGATGATGATGTTTTGTCACCCTTTTGTCATTATCAAAACCTAAAAGACAATGGGCAAAGGACATTGCAAAAATACATATTCATGATAGCACATTGTCCAACACTTAGGACTAATTAGGGAGTTATCCTTTTTGATTCATTATGATTTATTTAGGTAGGAAAAATAAAAGCTATGGGCTAGTATGGTTCTAGTTCAGCCCAGCCTATAAATCACAATACAGAGAGGCATGTTCTTAGGCTATAACTTCCAATGTGTTGCATATTATGGGCACATGTCATTTAATTGGTTCATTTTCAAATAGGATCACTACACATGCAGTTTATGATGGAATATCAATGGCCGAAGTTCAACATTTTTGACTTTTATATCTTTGTATTGACTTCCTTTTTCTTTTTGCAGCACATGGCTAAGCAACACTTACCAGGTTTGACTGATGAGTTAATGAAGAGAGGAAAACATTTCATACTCATCCGGAATCCCATTGAGATCTTGGTATCTTTTGTCTTTTCTTGTAGATGCTAATGAGTGCCCACATTGTTAAATAGTTGTATTCTTCAAGTTGTGTCTTGAATTTCTTCATTTTTGGTAATTAGTACTTCTTTAAACTATCTATTCTTAAAGTTTTCTATGCTTAGCCTATCTTTTGAAATTACACTAATCGCAGCTCTATGCTATCTTGCTAATTTTAGCCCATATGAGTTTATCTATTTAACTGATCTACATTTCATGTGTTGTGTTGCCAGCCATCCTTTGATGAGCATGTTCCCTCATCCTTTCTTGAGTTAGGGCTAGGAGACCTTGTCTCTTTATACTCTGAGCTCTCCAGACTGGGAAAGCCTCCACCTGTCATTGATGCTGCAGATCTTCGAACTGATCCTGAGGTTTAGAGTTTTTTCATTAAGTCTCGTATATCTTCCATGTATTTTTCTTTTGCTTAAGCATTATGAAAGACTTGATGGCTGCTTCGTGTCGTGTGTGTTTGTAACATTCCTTCTTATTTACTTATTGATTCAGTCAACTGAACTATACACTTTCCATTTTTGTTCGTCACAAAATGAACTTCACACTCCTTGGATTCCTTTTTAGGAAATGAATATGTGGTTCATATTTCTTACTTCTAAACAAATTCCAACATCCACCTTTTACTTTTCAACAGGTTTCTTAAACTCCATGAAGTCAAAGTGTTAGGATCTTTTTGAGACGGAGGGAGCATGTTATTTAAATGCTTTCCACTTCCATCCTATATTCCTATGACTATAAGTTCCAATTTATTTGAATATGGCACAACAGAAATGCTTTTGGTAATAATTTTTTTGCAAGTTGCTGCTTATCCTTGCTGCAGGGCTTGGCGTGTATGAATATGATACGTCATCATAAAATGAGTATGTCATACACACACACACTCACACTCACATACACACGCGCGTGCACACTCACACACTGAGATACACACACGCTCCCACTTGCGCATGCGCACACACACAAGGGCGCGCGCACGCACGCACACACATATACATATACATGGGCGTATTTTCAAGGAGTTAAGTGTGCTGGCATGGGAGTAGCAAAAATGATGGGTGACCCTTGGGAAGTAGATGCACACTTATGGGGCTGGGCTTTAGATTGAGCTTACATTGGGCGTACTATAGTGGGTTATTCGCCTCGGGTTTCACGGGCCCCGGGTGGCCACGAGGTTAACGGGCCTTGGCCCCCTACTTGTAACGGACCGTTCAAATACACACACACACACACATATACATACATACATACATACATACATATATATATACATATATATATTATGTATGTATGTATGTATGTATGTATGTATGTATGTATGTATGTATGTATGTATGTATGTATGTATGTATGTATGTATGTATGTATGTATGTATGTATGTATGTATGTATGTATGTATGTATGTATGTATGTATGTATGTATGTATGTATGTATGTATGGATGGATGGATGGATGGATGCATGGATGGATGCATGCATGGATGGATGGATGCATGGATGTATGCATGCATGCATGCATGCATGGATGTATGTATGGATGCATGCATGCATGCGCATGCATCATGCATGCATGCATGGATGTATGTATGTATGTATGACACGCCAAGGCGGACTAGGCCACCAGTGTACCACCATAATTTGAAAAGAAAAAAAGGAATATGAAATACAAAAACAATATGTGACTTCTTAGTGCAAAGTAAATACTGAGTATAAAGAGTCATTGACTTGAAGGAGTGAATACACTTTATTTTTCTCTCTCAGATACTTCTTCGTTCAACATGGTAACCGAGCGAGCTAGTTTTTCCCCTGACCAACACTGTCACGGGCAGCGTTAGAAACCTATGCTCAATTCTCAACTAGTTTTTTACCGCAGACCAACACTCTAGAAAACAATTGTGTCTCAATAACCTCACTTATTGTTTTGATCTCTCGCAGCAACTTGCGAACACACCTCCACACGTTACCACTACAGTAAACTCCAACCTTATGTGCAAGTGACTTTTTTAGTATGTCCTATCCATTGACCTGCGAGCAAGAGCGACATTGTAGCAATTTTTTCAGCCAGCTCAGTTTGCTTCTCCGACCTCATCTATACCATTAATATTGAGTCTGGACCCCGATGGGATCTATTGAAAACTCTAGTTCCAGCCTGGGTAGCAACAGTTTTTGCTCCAAGTTTCTCGGGAAGTATAACCCTTACTTATGAAAAACTATTAGGTTCTCAAGATTATAGTTCTTCGTCAGATGCAATCCAACATTCCAACTTTGGTTTATCGCTCAAGGCACTGCTGATCAAAACAAAGAAAGCAAGAAGAGTCTATTTCGGAAGGGTTAATGCCCAGATGTGTAATACTGTAGCCTATTGTGGCTATCTCTTATCTAAGTTGATGCTTCTATTCAGGTCTTTCAAGACATGTAGATCAGTACGGAATCAAGCAAAGCTGTTATACACCAATGGTGTGTTGCGATTTAAACAGCTTTAAAAAAGTAAGGATTTAGCATGGAACATTCCTTGGGAAAGTCCACGGACGTACGACTGAGTTTAACTCACTCATGCTTTTGTGTACCACTCTAGAGGAACAAACTGTTCAGCATGTTGGTTTTTGTTAAGTTAGGCCCTGAGTTTTGGCAGTTTCAAGAGCATGTTTTGCTGGAAGTGTTGTACCAGGTACAAATGTGGTGCTTCAAAGATTATTATGTGACAATTCCATTCCACTATCCAGAAGACAGTGCTATACCGACTAAGGATCAGTCTATCCATGATTCCTAAAAATGTATAATTATGGTTACCATATACCCCCCCCGACCTGTAAAAAACTTCATTCTTACTTATTTTTCCGTCCAAAAAAACTCGGCATTATTTTTAAAGAAATGAATGAGTGACTCAAAATTGTTCTCTCCTCTAAACAAATGCTAACCATAAAGTTTTCACTTTTTCAAAACATGTCTTAAAATCCGTGATAGTCAAACATGGAAGTTTTTTATGGGACAGTGGGAGTATATACAAGAGAGGGGGTGATGAAACAAGGAAAATAAATTACCATAGTATTGCTTAAACCAATTCCCAAACATATACAATGTCTCTATATGCTAACAAAAACAAATTGGAGTTTTTTTAGACATGAAAATTTGGAAAGTTGCCGAAGTGTTAAGGGACAAAAGGAATACAATCTGTTAATTTTACTTTTCAACTTGTAGCATATCAATGAAATCTCATAGAGTTTAAAGAATTTGGTTTATTTGCGGCTAGCTTGGTGCATTTAATTTATGTGTTGTAGCTGGAGGAGCATTGTTGAATTACTTGAATATTTAACCACAATGATAATAGGAGGTTAGCACATTTTCTATATCATTAGATTATGGATTGATCCATCTATGCAAACTTTAAACTTTTGTGGTTTGTTTAGTTTTGAAGTGATGAAACATCTAGTTGTATCATTTATCATATATTATTACAGAGTAGTTGTTCTTGTATTAAAGTCAATGTGCCTGAAAAGTAGAGCAAAACTAAATATGAACATTGATTGTTTTAGAACTTGAAACATATCTTTTCCAAGTGGTATTTCCTTGCTTGTAGTATCATTCTATTTGGTCTTTAATTCTACTTAATATGTATAGGTTTTCTGTCTCAATGGATTAGAAAGTCAAAATTTTTGTCATTAAATAACGTGGTCGTTTTTGTCATCTTTAGGCTACCTTGCACGGTCTTTGTGAAGATCTTGGCATACCATTTCAATCTACAATGCTTAAGTAAGTCCTATCGTTTGGGAAAGTTTGACTACTTTCATTGTGGTTTGCCTAGATATTGCTTTGTTTAGTTTTTATTCTTATGCCAAAATTGAAGGCACATTACGCTCCTTAATTTTTGTCTTAATGGGAAGAAAAAGAAAACAAAAACTTGCATGGTATGTTATTTGAAATTTTAACATTTGAGAATAAGGTGCAATACATTGTCTACAATTTTTTTTATGCATTCTCTACCAATTGAAATTTGAATGGGATCCTTGAAATTGGAAACTAAAGGCATGATATAAGTTTTAGATGTATTTTCTCGCACGTGATGAATAAAATTGGTGTTGATCTAATGAAATATGTACTCTCTATCTCTCTTTTCGAAAATAAACATCACCTTTTCCTTTTCTTCCATCCCAAACTAAAGCTCACACTTTCTCTTTCTTCCTATAGAGTAATGAAACATGTGCCCCAAAATTTTTCTCTTCTCTTAAAAAAATCACTACACTATACTTTTCATCACTTTCTTAAACTTGTGACCCCAAAATAAGTTGACATTGGGGTCAAATGTTTTGAACCCAAAGTCAACTGATTTTTGGGGGTTCAATTGACGGGGGTGGTGGTGGGTTTGGGTTGGGACGAGGTGGGGGGTTCACCGGGTTAGTGGATATGAACTGTCATTTTTTTGTACGGGACATTGCAGAGCCCTCAATTACACCGGTGTGCTATTGTCACCCCCAAAATGGGTGTAAGTATAACTTCACCATTTTCATATTTCAACATTTTTTGTTCTCATTTCTTTTATTTTTGAATATGTTAACTTTACATATAATATTTTATTTTAACTTTTTAAAACTAAGAGAAATTTTTATTAATAGTATATTCCTGCACCTAAAGTACAAAATAAAAATATGCCTTATTTTTGTTCAGTAAAAAAACTTAATTTTACGTTAAAAAAAAGGAAATGTTATTTAAGTTCCAAACTGACAAGGGCCTAAAATATATCTCCACACAAGGCCCTTTTAAGTTTTTTCCCCATTTCAGGAATGGCTACTTCACTTGTTATGGTCACAACCAGTGTATGTTGATTTTGCAATCTAAATTTTGTAGTGTGGCATGAACGTGACTATACCAACAACAATCACAACTAATCATTGTCTTAGGATAGTTTTCCATGCAAGTGGAAACTAATAATGATGATGGGTCTTTCGGAATATCATTTCAATAATCGGGCATGAAGCACATCTTATGCAATGCTTTGCCACCATGCTTTCGTGCATGAGTACAAAATGTTACCTAGTTTTAGATGATTGTATATTTACTACTCCATCTGTCCTAAAAGTAACTTCTTGTTGTGCTTTACAATGTTTGAAAAATGTTATTTTCAATTCAATTTGTTGGAGAATTGGTGTGGAATTTAAAATTAATACGTCAAAAGATCTACAAAACTAGAGGTGATATGACTATATTGTTTTTATCAAGTAAGTAATGAAAATAAGTTAACAAAGTGGATAAAGTTTGACCTAGTAACTGGGAAGATAGTTTTAGGACAGAGGGAGTATATATTAATGCCCCTGTCCCCAACACGTTGGTATTTAGGTGTTGATCACGGTGGTTATAATGTGGATGCTTTTTGGGGGCACAAATATTTGTGCTGCCCAGCATGAGTTTACAACACAAGTTTCAACTTTCCCCACCCCCATATCTAGTTTCCTAATAATTTTACTAGTTTAGTCTCTTTGTTTTCCTTAGAAAAGTTGTATGAGCTTTACGCCTCTCTTTCCTTGAGAAAGCTTGTAATAGTTGTGTAGGGATCATTAGTTTGGATCAATAATTCACTTTTGTAGAAATAATTCTTGTGTCTCGAACGTGGTCTAGCACCACCTCTCAGGCAAAGAGGTGAGTTGTGTGACTTCTGCCAAACACCATACCTCCTCTTTTGGTTATCACTCATCTCTTCCAACATTTTCCTGGAGACGTTGGATAATGGCTTGTATGTTTGATCTTATCAGCTCATTGTCTGGTTCCCTTTCATATTAAATGCTTGTGCAATTTTGATTTTGGATTAAAGACCTCTAGTGTAGATCTTGGAAGGGGTTTACTAATTGTTGTATTGGATCCACCTTTTTAGTCAGTGATCACAAATCTTGACAACTAGAGGACTCTGATGATTACTTTTAGAGTATTGTAACATACGTACCTTATGCTTGCAATTAGTGCCTAACGATTCACATGTTAATTCCAGATGGGAAGCAGGGGCAAAACCATATGATGGAATTTGGGCTCCATGGTGGTATGAATCCATACATAAGTCAACGTGTTTCACTCCGCCTCGAAAGTATCCTTTGGTATGTCTTATACAGTTTTATGGTTAACTATGTACAGTGTATGATGAGCTGCCATATCATTTTGAAGTAGATAATAGTTTACTTTTGGTATGTATATAAATACTCTAAAGAAGAACTTATTATGTGTGCATGGTAGTTGTGAATTTGTATTTTGTGGGTTTTTTCACACCTCATTGTCTCTTTTAGCATATGTGAAGGAAATTTAGTCACATACCCTTTTCTTTTATTTAAAGTGAATAGCAAGTGGTTATTTCTTTTAATGGTGCAAATGTGTTCTAAAGAAGGCATACATAAGTCAACAATTCAACATGCTCCACTCCACCTAGAAAGTATTCTTTGGCATGTGATTGACAAATCATTGTTAAACTAAGAAAAGAATATGTAAAAGACTCCATCTTTGTTTTTTGAGTAACATGTAAGTAACCATATTTGTAATGGTACGATGGGCATACCGGAACAACTCAAGGCCAACAAGGCCGAAATCAAAAGTCAACGGTACAATGGGGATAATGTTTATTATAAACTCCCTCCGTCCCAAAAAAAGGCTCCTAGTTTGACTTGGCACAAAGTTTAAGAAAGTAAAAATGTGTGGTTGGAAGTTATGCGCAGAGGAGAGCGAAAGATTGTGAGCCACTCAAAGTTGTCCAAAAAAGGAAAGAGAAGACTTATTTTGGGATGTCCCGAAAAAGAAAATAGTGAGTCTTTTTTGGGGACGGAGGGAGTATAACTTTATACACCAACACTTTCAACTTTCACCTTAACAACAATACTACAAACATAGAATGATTGGCTATCAAAATAAATGCTAGTCCAGACCTTCCAAATCATGTAGATGGTGCAGTTCAAGGCTAGTCTGGTTACCCATTTTCCTAGCCACGGACCTATGGTGATCCGTCCTGATCCATCGAACTACCCTTTCCAAGATAGATAGGTGCCTCCCAATGCCCAACCAACTTTGAATAGCACTCCATACATGTGCTGAAACAGTGCACTGGAAAAATAAATGGGAAGTGCTTGACGGTTCTGTATCACACAGCATAGACTGCCTGGGGATGTCAAGAAAAGTCTGGGCCACCTTCGTAGGTAGCCTCTTCCGATACGCCAGCCAGAGGGTAAAATAGAATTTAGGCAGGATATAAACATCCCAAATGAAGCTCATCCATGGTTTAGGGTGTCCCCTAGTACGGGTCTTTTTAAACAAGCTTGAGTCCTGGGAGTGCGGAACCCATTCCCACACCGATCTTCCCCGAAGATAAACCGCACCCACTTCATCCAGAGAGTGTCCTTCTTAACATGAATATTCCACAAGATCTTAGCAAGCAATTTCGTGTTCTACACATAGCAATCCCTAAGCCCTAGGCCCCCTAAGGTGTTATACAGCCGTACATAAGTCAACTGCTCCACTCCACCTAGAAAGTATTCTTGGTATGTGGTTGACAAATATTTGGTAAACGAAGAACAAAATATGTGAACGACTCCATCTTTGTGTTTATGGTTTCTCATATTTTGTGCACCAATACTGACCATACACTAACCCATCTTATTATTTTCCCCATTTTGTTGTCTTTTTTAATAAACCAAACCCTGATGTAATTCGTAATTAACCATCATTCAGAATTGGCCACTTGGTCCAAATTCCAAAATTAAGCTGATGATAAAATGTGTACTTTTATTTGATGCTCCTTACCAACAACTTTGCAAAATATTAATCCTTAGTCAAAGGGGTTCACTATATGTCTATATGACGTATTAATTTCCTTTTTAAACATGAAGGCAGTTTGACACATATTCAATGTTCTTGAATTTAATGAAAACCATTCTGTTCGATTACTTATCCTTCAAAATATTTTCAGCCTTTTCCGCTGTCTTTGTATGAGTTGCTGGAGCAAAGCCTTCCTTTATATAACATGCTTCGGAGTCATTCCAGAAGGACTTTGCCTCTTCCCAAAATTCCTATTCCAGCTAATGAAAAGCTTCTTGCATGGGTTGGGGATGAACTTTTGCCCCGTGAGAGTGCAAAGGTAACTTTATGTTTTAGTAATAAGGATGTAATATCTATGAATAACTCAGTTCAATTGACACCGACCAATATGATACCGAGGCCATTTGGGGGCCCTACAACGCAGGTAAGGGGTGGGTGGTGCTGGTCGCCTAGTGGAGGGGAGGGAGGCTACTTGATGTAGATGGGAACACGGAACCTTTGGGGACAGGAGGATCCTCCCTCGTTCCCAACAAAACACCGTAAAGCCCCCAAATGCCGTTGATGTCATATTATTACACCGGGGGCCGGTGCTGATTGAACCGTGGCGATATACGAAAGCAAGATGGAAAATGAGATTCCGTTTTCAACACCAATTTTCTCTGTTGGAATGTAAGCACTTGCTTTTATGTGCTGTGATTTTAAAGTTTAACTTAACACAATTGCAAAATATTCAGGTCTCCGTGTTTGATTCTGTTGTCCAAGGAGGTGATGCAGTCTGGGAAGGGCTTCGAGTTTATACCGGGAAGATATTGAAGCTTGAAGATCATTTAGATCGGTTTGTCGTTATAATTCTTATACGGAGTAATAATTTAATTGTTGTATTGTTAGAGTTAGCAACTTGCTATCGATTTCCATATATTCTAATACTCCGTCCTAATGTGTTTGCCAACATCGACCCATGAAGAATGTTTCAATGTTTTTGACAAACAAGAAAAATCTTTTGAAACCATTTCCATATTATTAGGCATGGCATTTTTTATATTAAAAAAATGGTCAGAGTTTGCAACATTACTACATATCGGTCACACTCCTTTTTTTCTTCTAACTAGTAAATGGTCCTTTCAGAAGATACGTACTTCTATGCATATAAGATTCCTAACATTAACATGGGTGCAGGGAAATTAGTTATTAATGACATTAAACTATCATCAACAAAGAGACATGGCAATATAGGATTTCACATATATGCTTTTGTTTAGTGGTGTGGTACTTGAAGGGAGAATTAGTGCAAGTGTTTTTAAGGTCGGTTTTCTAACATAATTTATGTATTTTATTGATACTGGTTTCAGATTTTCAATAATGTTTATCAGTTTCTAACATAGCTTTTTTAACACAATGTTGATCAGTTTCCAACATAAAACAGTCAACTGTGGTTTATAGTTTATACAGTTTATTTTGGATGGATGGGTAACATGCTAACGCATGACATTGTGTTGTTTTCTAATGTTCTATTATTTTGTTAGGTTGTTTGACTCAGCTAAAGCCCTTGCTTTCTCTAGTGTTCCAACTCGTGAAGAGGTAATATTTCCTCCCACATTCAATTGGTTCTTCTATGACAAGCTACTCATTGTTTTAAACTTATATTGTGCTTTTAAGTGTTGGAGTATCAGTAAAATGTAAAATAAACATGATACACATTTTTATATGCATAAAATGTTTAGATTTACTTTAAACAAACACATGCAGATCAAGGATGCCATATTCAAAACACTTATAAGTAATGGAATGTTTGACAATGTGCATATACGACTAACTTTAACACGGGGCAAGAAGGTATGTCTACATATCCCTTTCCCCTAATCTTTTGAGTTTAGGAGTTCTTATATTATACATTTGGATGTACAATGCTTATTTTACATCCGACATATGCTTATTATATTCACACCTTTCACCTAATTTTACTAAATCCACACCAATATCAAATTTATATTAATGAGTGTGGTTTACAAAAATTAGGTAAAAGGTGTGGAAATAGCAACACCTCATTTTGTACAGTTAATTCTTTTCATATAATTAGAGCATGCACATTATGGAATTGAGACATGCACATTTAATAACAAGTTAAATATATTTTGTCCCTGTAAAATATGAGAGCTGTGTTTTTGGTCCTTGTAATTTTTTTTTGTTTAAGTCATCTTTACGAAATTTTTTATTTTGAAAATGGTCCTTTTAAGTAATTAAGACTTTTAATTTGTTGACATAGCACATTTATTTCGTACTCAACAACTTAGTGTTGCATTTCTAATTACTTCAGACTCAATTCTAATGCCCTAAATTGTGTCCTTTTATCAAATTACATCTCCAATTTCCAAATTTTTATTATATTACTCCCTCCGTCCTGAAATTAACTTTCCAGTTTGAGTTTCGGGTCAAACTTTTTAAATTTTGACTGCATATTTCAAGAAAAGTACATTGAATTTTTATATAAATTTAATATGATAGATTTATTATAAAACATTGTTTTGAAATATTTTAATTTATATTATATATTTGTATATGAATAGAAATATTAATGGTCAAAGTGTTGCATTGGAGACTGTGAAAAGTCAAATGGAAAGTTAATTTTAGGACAAATGTAGTATATTCTTTAGAAATTTGGTACTTAGAGATGTAATATGAATAATTACACAATTTAGGGCTTGTAAATTGTGTCTGACATAATTAACCAAGATGTTGAGTATGAATTAGATGTGTTATCTCATCTAATTAGAAGTGCTAATTACGTTTAAGGACTATTTTCAAAATAAGAATTTTGTAAGGATGATTTTAAATTTTTTTATTTATAGCGACCAAAAACAAGACTCGCCTATTTTACACGGACTAAAAACATATTTAATCCTTGCCAATTATTGTTGTTGTTGCTGATTTCGTTGCCAATTATTGTTGTTGTTGCTAATAACGTTTTTAATCAATAGAAGAATTAAAAATGGAACCTTGAAAATAAAATGAAAATAAAATTACAGAAAACCACACATTTGTTTTTTTGTACGTACTCAAAGCATGCACATCATAAAATTAGGGTATGCACATTTACAAGCTATATAATACTCATTGGATGTACATAAAAGTAGATACATTTAGATGTACAATATAATTTCCTAAATTTTAATGACTTATGTATTCATCACACCAAATCCTTAAGTTTTTTCTTAATGTTTTTCAATTTATAACTCTTGTTTTTTTTAAAACGAATTTATAAGTCTTGTTAGGAATAATGAGGCTTCAATTTACTTGTGGTTCAATTTTTTTAATATTTAAATAGGCTTCCATTATTTCTGATGGAGCCAAAGATTCATTATTTTTTGCTTTGGGGTGTGATGGAATAAACTAAACAAAATGAGGTGTGCGGTAGCATGAAGACTTGATTAAATTGAGATAAGCAGAAACAAAATGTTGCCTTGGCATTGGAAAATAACAAAGATATCCCTTTCAAACTCATGAATATCCAAGGATGACACGTTCGATGGATCTAGTTTACATTTTTGTGCATCCTTGTGTTGTGTCGTGAACAAAACAAACAATGCAAAATTATGGGGCGGTGAGGGAAACCATTCACAGGTATGAGACCTCTAGTATGATAAAATCACGCTTAAAATTCTTTTGCCGGATGCTTTCTTTCAGGCTTTTGCGTAACTATAAGCTGCATGAAAGAAGATTCTCTCAAAGTAACCACTCATGGTTGGAATTATGGAATTCAATGAGATATCTTCACGAATTGACTTTAACTTTTCAAGTGAACATCATTCGTCTAAGACAAAGACCACAACAAACATCAGGCAATTGGTTGAATAGTATTGGATGAGTTGGTTGATTAGTACTGGATTACATCTTTTCACAACGTACACTTCCCCTTTCTCGGTAATTGGTTGAATAGTATTGGATTAAATAGCAAGTACTTGGATCGCTTGAGAAAGTTTTGTGTATCCTGCTCTTGTTGTTTGTGATTAGCTATCTTAGATCCGAATGAAAACAAACTTTGGATGTCATTGCTATTGTTCGCCTTAGCATTGTCCCTTGGTTGCTTGCATGTCACGGTGTCCAAAAAAGTTTGGGATCCATGGATTGCCGCATCATCACATTGCTCAACAGGGCATCCATGACCTCCCACTTTGTTTTCTTGTTGTTGATAAGAACATCTTTAGTTAAGTGGTTGACTTGACCTTGACCCTTAATCAACAACTACACAGAAAACAGCCCACAACTGATAGTGTGAACTGTGAACTTCCCAGCAAATGTATGGTAGAAGTGGTAGGAATGGCTGCAAATAAGGAAAAACTCAAGGCCTTTAAAATTGTTGAATAGCAATTGTATGATCAAGGAGTTCTGATCAGAACAGTATTCAGAGGCGACGCGTGAGGGTGGTGATGTGGCATGCTGGAAACACCTGTGCAGACGTATGAGAGTTTGGAAATAGAATAATGTGTGTGAGCGTGGCAGTGGGACTTCAGACGATGAGTCACGATAACAAAATGGGTCTGGTTGGAGGTTCAGATTTGACTGACCACTAAAGAATTATTATCGTTGTAAAGATGGAAAGTGATACTATTCACACCAGTAAGAATGCTACACACAGAAAACTGATTGGTTTTGGTACCATGTGAGATAGGACAGTTTTCACCTGATTTCAGTATTTACAAATGAGCTCTATTTATACTTGTGAGAGTATGCTTACCAACCTTATTCTTAACATAAGGCATAGAATAACCTTGTAATAAATTTGCATGTAAGCCATAAGCTTGTGGCTAGACTTTTAATAATTGGTTTTGCCGAGCCAACTTGTAGGTGTTGTGTATAATTTCTATGATAGTGTGCAAATAGCACTGCTCTGGAAAGTTTAACATTTTGTTTCTATGATGTGATAGTTTGATTGTCATCTTTCTCGGTTAGGTATCTTCCGGAATGACTCCTGCTTTAAACCTTTATGGATGTACTTTGATTGGTAAGATTCTTATTTCTTTCATTGTATAATATCTTATTTGGCTGAATCAAGCTATGATAGGAATCATAGAGGATCTGAATAGGAAAATATGATATATTGTATTAAGAAGGATTTGAGCAAGAATCTCACGATATAACTCTCATTACCCTAACAGTAGTGTTGAAAATAATAATATGTTTTTCATGATACTAAAGGCTGAGATATATCATAGTATTTATAGAGTCTGATTACAACTGAATAGTAAAATTATGTAGAAAATAATCTCTACAAAATAGGGGTTATAAGACACTAACCTTATCGAATCCTAAAAATAAGCAACAATGTTTAAATAGAATTAGACTCCAAAAAACAATATATATCCTAATAATTAATGACTTGAAAGCTAGCAGTTTTTAGAGTGAATTCCCAAATCAGTCCTTTCTAATAAGGTGTTTTCCCAAATTAGTCCTTAATAAACAATATTTACCAACATGGTCTTCTATAATAGAGATGCATTCCCTAAATAGTCCTCTGCTGAAAATGTCTATTAAATGTCAGTCAAATAGAAGGTATTTTGATATTTTCTATCATCTAAACTTAAAGTATGTTCTCGAAATGCTTCTTTGTACTTAAGTATTTTTCCAAACTGATAATTTCTAAGTAAATTCTTTCCTGAAATAGAGTTCACGAGCCTACTTGAGGTGGTTCTGTTCCTCTAGCGGCCACCACTTGATTTGAAATGATCATTTTGAGGACTTATTCATATTTTAGATGATGGAAAATACAAAAATACACTCTATTTAGCTGTCATTTAATATTCATTTTTGAAAGAAGACTATTTAGAGAATACATCTCAATTACGGAGTACAAAGGACTATGTTGGTAATCATTGTTTATTGAGGACTAATTTGGGAAAGTACCTTATTAGAAAGGACCATTTTGAGAATATACTCTAGTTTTTAAATCATCATATGTTAACTAGGGAATGGGAAAGTGGGAAACATGTGCAGCCGCTCGTGTAAAACACTTATACCAGGAACAGACACTGAAGTTGAGCTGGTGAATTATCCTCTGAAATCACTCTATGAAGCTTATACTCTCTGCCATTTACCTAGAAAATTATTGGTTTGGGTGGTGTTCAGTGAAGCCAGCCCTTAAATCCCCTACACAAGATCAATGTCTTTTAGTGTGAATGAGAAATAATTTGTTCAATAACTGGGTCATAGAACTTACCTCCAAATCTGTGCAAAACTGCTAACTCAGTTACATGTTACGAGTTATCACCCTCAAATCCATTGTTTGAACACCAAAACATGAGTAGGGAGTCTCACCTCCAAAACTAATGCTTATAAGCTGAGTTTGTGGGTAGACCCACAATTTACCAACATCAAAATTTCACGACCCAATATGGACCCTTTGATTTGCATGTGCCAGAATTAGCCTTACCTACCATTGCATTGAAAACTACGTCAATATCTCTTCCATCAATTTTGATGTTGTCTTCACCTTTTGAGAATTGAATGAATTATTTGTTTTAGATGAAATTTAGGACGGGTAGGATAATTGGATTGGGCAATAAGACGCTTTGGCTGAACCATATTAAAAGATTGAATCCGATCGATTAGTAAGTTCAACTCAAGAGCTTATATACCGATTATTTTACTCTTGGATTTCCAATGTAGGATAATCTCTAACAATCCCCCTCAAGTGGACAATCGGGCCATTTTGAATCTAACTAGTTGACCACTTGTAAATAGATTCCCGTCCCCGTTAAATGAATATTTGAGCGGCAACACCTAAAGGATCCCAGGATCCCAGGTCGCTAGGTATGGACCTCTAGGCGAACAATCGGGTTAAATGGGGCACAAATCGTTGGATATATGTATTTCATACAGACAACTGAGCTAAAGACAAACGGGTCGCGAGGAATGAACATCTAGACAGACATCTTGACAAATGAGGTGGGCAAAACCCTGCTCCAATATCATGATGAAATTTAGGATGTGTAGGGATAATTGGATTGGGCAATAAGACACTTGGGCTGGACCACATTAATAAGATTGGATCCAATCAATTAGTTAGTTCAACTCAAGAGCTTATATACCGATTATTTTACTCTTGGATTTCTAATGTGGGATAATCTCTAACAATCTTCTTGAATATGTTTCAAGAAGAGAGCTGAAATCACATCGTCTGAATTATTCAGATTCATCATCACGGATGTCAATGTCATTTGCCTTTGTCATGCTTTTCATCTTGTGAAGCTGAAATGGCGACCAAGGTATTCAGTGCAGTAGCAAAGAAAGCTCCACGATCATAAGAACAAAGAGGATTAGAATGTGTATTCGACAGGACCAAATCAAAGCAAAGTAGAATATTTTATTGATATAAACTGTACATGAATATTTGTATATTTGTGTTCTCTAAATATAAATAGAGATCAAACCAACATGACTTTTACTAACTAACACAACTATTGCAAACCAACACACCTATTAACAATAGAAACTACCAATAACTGCCTTTTAGAAACTGCCCAACTTTTTTTTTATTTAAATTAATTATATATGTAAAATACACTAAACGACACCACACTAATTGACTCTATACTAACTGACTCGAACATTGACTCATTGCCCATTCGGCTATATGTGAACAAACCCGATTAAATCTAACAATCACGCCCTTAATCGTTGTTTGTTCACATTGATCTTCACAGCAACGTTGGTTCATCATCTTCAATTAAATTTGCAATCTGTTCTTTTTTATCCCATTTTGGACAATCGTTCAAAAAATGCCCTAACTCATTGCACTTTAAGCACCTAACGTGACTCTTATCCCGCTTAAACCGATCACCATCCTGACCTTTCCCGGACCCCCGACCTCTACCTCGGCCACGTCCAAAGTCTTCTCGGTTTAAGCTCCAGCAACCACAATGCTCACATTTGTGCTCGTGAACCTTCTATTTTCCATCACCTTTAGTGAAGAGTAGTTTACCATGTGTATCTCTTTCATCAGTTTGCTTTTTGATGTGTTCCTCGAATGCTTTCAATCTTCCAACCGCTTCTTGAAATAACATTGCGTTAATTTCGGCAAACTGTTCAATTGCAGCAACGATCTTTATGAACTTTTCAGGTACAGAACCCAAAAGCTTTCGAACCAATCTTTTGTCTTCAAATGCAGACCCAAGGTTGTTTGCTTGTGTTGCAAGTTGACTAATTTTACCAGCAAAATCATCAAGTGACTCATTGTTCTTTATCTTTAGAGTCTCAAAATCTGATTCAAGTGCCTGTAATCGCGCCGCTTTAACCCTGTCAACACCAACGAAGCGAGTCTTCAAACCATCCCAAATTTCTTTTGCTTCAGTAAACTGAGCAACTTGTAGCACAATCTCTTCCGGCAAAGCTTGAAACAAATATGCTATTGCCATATTGTTCTTCTTTGGATCGATTTCTGTTCTTGGTTCGATCACCTCCCAAATCCCATTAACATTTAAAATTGCTTTGATCTTCACGGCCCAAATAGTGTAGTTTGTTGTAGTTAGAATTGGAACCTGAAAAGACAGTGAACTATTTTTCCTTGTAGTCACAATCTGTCTATTGTCTTTCATTGCACGACTTTAACTCCTTTGACAATTTTCACAAAATTCTTAGACTTTGATTCCTTCCTGGGTTGTAAGCCACCTGCAATCGACCCCCAACCAGAAAACAAGACCCTGCTTTTCCGTCTTCCAAGCCACTAAACGAAAGCTACCCCGCTGATTCGTTTTTCCCGCGCTGTTTGGTTGGAATTCTTCTGCCAAACGAAAAAACTAGCCACCTACTATTTTCGTCCTAGGCGATGAAGGTCTTGTCGAAGAATCTTGATCTGTTGTCGAGGAAGTCTGTAACGCTTTGTATTATGATCTGGCAGCCCTTCTGCTCCCGATCGTACAACTCCTGATCACAAACAGACCGCTCCCTTTGATCGTTGGGTTCTTATTGGATTTTCGCTCCAATACCAATTGTTAGACAGGACCAAATCAAAGCAAACTAGAATATTTTATTGATGTAAACTGTACAGGAATTTTTGTGTTCTCTAAATATAAATAGAGATCAGACCAACATGACTTTTACTAACCAACACAACTATTGCAAACCAACACACCTATTAACAATAGAAACTACCCATAACTGCCTTTTAGAAACTGCCCAACTGTTTTTTATTTAAATTAATTAAATATGTAAAACACACTAAACGACACCACACTAATTGGCTCTATACTAAGTGACCCGAACATTGACTCATTACCCATTCGGCTATATGTGAACAAACCCGATTAAATCTAACATATTCACCATTCTTAACAAAGCTCTAGTGCCAAATGATAGGAACCAAACTACCAAAGAGGAACTGAAAAGAAAAATAGGTCAACATCTTTAAGGACTTGAGCAAGAATCTCACTCAATAATGTTTTAATAGCCAACAATGGTGAAGGGAAGACATAACGAAGGACGTTGTAAAGTTCCCTTGGAACAAAAGTAAAGTCTTGTCCTCTGCTTCTAGAGCCAATGTTTTGCAGTAATTCTTTTTATTATATCCCTCCTATACCCTTACTAAGGGGTTTTTATATCTAGCGGGTTACATTTTGCAAAATGGATATGAAGAGAATCAATCTAGGATAACATACTCTATCTATTCCCTAACTCATTCAAGGATAACATAATATATTTGTTCCATAACTTTCTTCCCTGGAATTATTCATCAATCATATGATTAGCTTGACCAAATCAATTGATTTGATCTGTACCAGAATTGGTCATTGAAGGTGGTTGTGAATGAGTTAGGGAGGATAGTACAATCTAAATAATGAAATAACTTAATTCATGTGAAGAATTACAGATTGGCCTTAATTAAGGCAATGGGTCTTGGTGTATTATTGTTGTGCAGTATATTAGAATTTTTTATAATGATTACCTTTCTCGTCCAATCATTGAATGTAACTTTTTTGGACGAGTTCTTGACTCCAAATTTATCATCAAGTTGGTTATAGAATTTGTTTCCAACTTTAAAATTGTTCATATTTGCCCTAGGCTTTTAATCTTTGCAGAAATTGTTCATAAGTTTAATGTAAATGGAATTTTCTCTATATTTTTTAATCTTTAAGTGGCTTGTATTATCTACCTTATTTTATTGCTGCTTCTGATATTTTTCAGTGCTTCCTGAATGGAAACCACCTGTCTATGACAATGCAAAAGGCATCATGTTGGTGACAGCAACCACTAGGCGTAATTCTCCAAATGTAAGATTTGTGTCTTTTTTTGGGTACATGAGATTTGGATGTTACTTGACATATGGATGGTGCTAAATAGTCACTCTAGGGAAAAAGTTATCAGAGGATTAAAACTTAAAAAGTGTACCAAAGATATAACATGGTGACCTAAAGTGTCATTTATTAAAATTTTAATAAATAAATATGAAATCTGAACTATGATCGTTATTTTAATGATATTTGAACAATAAATTATGCCATCCAAGCATAATACATTATAGACTGCTCCTGTCGATAATGATCATATTGTCATACCTAGCTTCATACACTATGCATGCTGATAAATAAATAAAAAACTTTCACTCTTATGTTCCTGCCACTGTCATTTGAAATACTCAATATCTTGATTTGTTAATATAATATTGTAAATTTGAGGGACTCTCTTTTTCATATTGTATAACTGGAAACTTTGTCTTCCACCACAGAATTTGGATTCCAAGATTCACCATAACAACCTTCTCAACAACATTCTTGCTAAGGTAACATTCTCACGATGTGTTTGATAACTACAGTTTTTGTCATGATGCTAGTGATATATCTACACATATTGCATGAGAAAAGTGTGGTGGACTGGTGGAGTTAATTTAATATTTTTACATTTTAGTGGAATCTGCTGCCGTATGAAAAGTCGGTTTTTTATCATTATCTATATATCATCCCATAACAACCATTTTTCCCCTATTGAAAATCGTTTGAGTTAATTTACAATGTATCTTTTACTCAACATGAATGATGATGCATCGATATACAGTGAATGTTTGCCTGGATTAGAAGGGCTACAGGAGAGTAGTATAGTTATATGCAGCATGCACTAACCCCTTGTCTGATCCGAATGAGGGAAAGGGAAGTTAGTAGAAAGGTAGAGGAGGGAGCAGCGGAATGCCGTAGTTGAAAAAGATCTTTTGTTTGGCTCTATTGAATGTTCCTTAGTCTTCCAAAACGATCCTCAAAAGGTGAAGTTTACCTTACGCTTAAATGCTAGACTCAAAGCCACTAGAAAACCCATGCCAGACACTCAACAAGTTCAATGGAAGAGTAAGGAATTAATATTTCATAAAAATATGAAGAAAAACGTTATACTGAATATAATTGTTGATATTTTTTAAAAACGTAATCAGGTATATGTGTTAGATATAATCGGGTTTGTTCACATATAACCGAATGGGTAATGAGTCAATGTTCGGGTCAGTTAGTATAGAGTCAATTAGTGTGGTGTCGTTTAGTGTGTTTTACATATTTAATTAATTAAAAAAACAGTGGGTAGTTTCTAAAAGGCAGTTATGGGTAGTTTCTATTGTTAATAGGTGTGTTGGTTTGTAATAGGGGCGTTGGTTAGTAAAAGTCATGTTGGTCTGTTCTCTATTTATATTTAGAGAACACAAATAATCCTAGACAGTTTTTACAACAATAAAATATTCTATTTGATCAGGAGTTGTATGATCGGGAGTAGAAGGGCTGCCAGATCATAATACAAAGCGTTAGAGACTTCCTCGACAACAGATCAAGAATCTTTGACAAGATTCTTCCTCGCCTAGTACAAAAATAGCAGGTGGCTAATTTTTTTCCTTTGGCAGAAGCATTCCATCCAAACAGCGCGGGAAAAACGAATCAGCGGGGTAGCTTTCGTTTAGTGGCTTGGAAGACGGAAAAGCAGGGGCTTGTTTTCTGGTTGATGGTGGATTGCAGGTGGCTTACGACCCGGGAAGGAATCGAAGTTAAAAATTTTGTGAAAATTGTCGAAGGAATAAAAGTCATACAATGGGAGAATAACAAAAATAAGACAGATTGTGACTACAAGGGAGAATAGTTAACAATTTCCCAACCTTAACCCGAGGAAGAAGTTATGCAAGGTAAACTACTATTCACTAAAAGTGATGGAAAAGAGAAGGTTAAGGAGCACAAAACTGAGCATTGTGGTTGCTGGAGCTCAAACCGGGAAGACTTTGGACGTGGCCGAGGTAGAGGTTGGGGGTCCGGGAAAAGTCGGGATGGTGGACAGTTTCAGCGGGAAAAGAGTCGCATTAGCCATTAGGTGCTTCAAGTGCAATGAGTTAGGGCATTTTTTGAACGAATGTCCAAAATGGGATCAAAAGGAACACATTGCAAATTTGATTAAAGATGATGGTGAACCAACGTTGCTGTGAAGATCAGTGTGAACAAACAACGATTAGGGGCATGATTGTTAGATATAATCGGGTTTGTTCACATATGACCGAATGGGTAATGAGTCAATGTTCGGGTCAGTTAGTACAGAGTCAATTAGTGTGGTGTCGTTTAGTGTGTTTTACATATTTAATTAATTAAAAAAACAGTGGGTAGTTTCTAAAAGGCAGTTATGGGTAGTTTCTATTGTTAATAGGTGTGTTGGTTTGTAATAGGGGTGTTGGTTAGTAAAAGTCATGTTGGTCTGTTCTCTATTTATATTTAGAGAACACAAATAATCCTAGACAGTTTTTACAGCAATAAAATATTCTATTTGATTTGTTCTTCCTATTATTTTTTTCTAACAATATGTGTGTCTCACATCTCCACCAAAATCCTCCAACCCAACTGGGAATGATTAACAGCTTGTAACCTGTTCGTGCATTTAAAATTATGCTATACTTCTACATGACTTTTGATTTCAGATAGAAGGGAATAATGCAAAAGCTGATGATGCCATCATGCTCGATAAAGATGGCTATGTGGCGGAAACAAATGCTACAAACATTGTTAGTATTCCAGTTTTGGTTCAACATTTTTAGCATTGATTATCCTATGGAGGCATTGTATATTGAATTTATTTATTTTTACTTGAAATACCTTAAGAAGAGAACTGATAAATGTTTCCTGGTCCTCTTTATATCAACATGCATAACCAAATTAACCCCTCTCACTTCTCGTCCTCAAATATATTTGTTAGTTTTTAATTGTATTATAGTGTGGTCCATAGTCTCCATACTTGATACTCCCTTTTCCTACTTGGGTCATCCCTAATTAATCTTCCTTTCTCTGTCTAAGGAAAAAATTGTGTGGTTTATACTCCATATCAATTCTTTCATTTATAAATGCATCTCAATTACACTATTCCATTTTCCTAAACTCTGTGTAGAAGAAAGAAAATGGGTATCAAATAGGAATGAAGTATATTCTTCTCAGGGTGGGGTTGTTATTGTCAGATAAAACTGTATTCTTTGTATTATTTTCCTATTTCTATTTTCTAAGCTATCAGGATCAGTACCAGGTAGACCATAATGCCCTAAGACCTAGTCTTCTTTAAACGATTTTAGGATTTACTTACACTGTCTATTTCCTCAGTCATCATTGCACACATTCTAGTTCCAACAACCATTGCTTGAATGCTGGTGAATATTTCACTTTTTTCGTTATACTTATGTCAAATAATGCAGTTCTTGGTGAAGAAAGGCCATGTGATGACACCTCATGCCGACTTCTGCCTTCCTGGTGTAACAAGAGCAGCAGTAAGATCTACTTTATTGCATGTTTTGATGTATAGCTGAAAAAAAGTTTGCCAGTCCCTGCTAGTGTAGTATTGTTTTGAAAAACAAAGGAGAAAAAAAATATCAGAACTATTGGTATAATTATCCTTACTGAACAAGTTCAAGTGGATCTTTCATCACTGAAGAATTGACTGTAGAAAGTTGGCTGTTCACTGCTTCAAGAGTTTAAAGGTTCCTTAGACATTGTCTTATATAGAACTAAAAATCATTTATTAATCACTCTACTGTTTGTAAGCCTTGGGAATATGTTCCTATGTGTGGCTATCATGAACTTGTCTGAGTATAGACCTGGAAATTATTGTCAAGGGAACATATATGTTACATGAACGATGAATGTAATTTTGTCAAGTTTTTTTTACTCTCTTTCCTGAATCAATTTCAAATATTTTAGTTGGTTAAGGTGTCAGAGTATCACATGTTCCATGAGTATCTCTAATCCCTTAGTCAACTAAAAACACATTCTTTTTTATCTTCTGGACCTTCGAGAGGATTTAAGTACTTAGTTGCTCTATACATTTCTGAAGGCAGAATGTTTTGCAGGTGATAGAGCTAGTTCTGAAGGAGAATTTGGTTTTTGAGGAGCGACGCATTAGTCTATCAGAGTTTCACACTGCAGATGAGGTAACAACACTTTTGCAAAAATGCTTGAGTGATGTAGTTAGTTTTTGTTTGCTTCATGATCACTGCCATTCAAAATTACAGAGGGTGTAATAGTTTTTGATAAGTGTTCTTGTGGAAGACATTAAGATAAGTTCAATATGGTAAAGCTTTTTTACTGATTTTAACCAAGAAAAGCAAAAATTATCTGGTCTATTGACATTTTCTTTACCTTTTGTTTTCTACCATCCCTTTTCGAAATAAATTACTTCTCTATTATTTACACCAATTATGGGCCTCTATTTATGCCTGATGCAGGTTTGGACCACTGGAACTATGGGGGAACTTACCCCGGTATGAATGCTTAACTTTCACGGCATGATTTCCGGCATACAGCTGTTTTGAGTGATTCAGTGATGCTGTTTGGGACCTTCTCTCTTTAAATGACATTTTTATTTTACCTAAATGGATCAGGTCACAAAGATTGATGGGCGGCTTATTGGAAGTGGCCATGTAGGCCCTATAACATTTAGGTTACAAGATGCTTACCGAAAGCTCACAGAAGAGTCAGGAGTTCCAATACCAACTTATCAGATGACGTGAATATTGTGGGTCTCTAAAGGTTCTATTTCAATGCTCATTCATGTTCATTTATCCATATACGTATTTATTTACAGTTAACAAAAGATCAAAACAAATGGAAATTGTAAATGAACTCCTAGCAAATCAAACCATTTCAGTCCGATAATGATTCTTAAATTTCCACAATTCCACCTCAACAAAGTTACTAGCTTTGCCCTTTTCTTAGTCGCTCAAACCCTTCAACGTAATTATTCTAAGAAGCTAATCAGCTACAAAGTACATTGGTAGGTTTAAGATAGGATATTAATATACTGTCTGCACTGCTGACTGCAGCTAAATTGATGTGATGATATCGAACTAGCGATTTAATGTATTCATTAACTAGTGTTACCTCTATTCCACTTTGTGATTACACTTACCTGTTTAGTCTACCCTAATATTATGATCCCTTTCCTAATTTAAACTTCGCTAATTTTTTACTTTCCTTTATCTATCTTTTCACCTTTTACTAAGTGGGCTTCCTATTTATGAGAAAAAAGTTACAAGTTTTAAACAACTAACATCTCCCTTCACTTTCATGAAGATCATGCCAAACTCTAATGTATCCGATATTATGGGACGGACGAAGTATGTTTATGTGATTTGCATGTTTATACTTGCTACAATGTGAAACTTTCAGTTATTATTACTGAAAAACCAAACTTGAATGCGAAACTACGGTCTATGGGGACATTTGGGATTGATTTGCATTTTCTCTTTTGCAAACTAAGTAGATGGGCCGAATCGGATGTTGTTGGCGGGTTGAATATGGTACTGACAATATATTGTTAGTGATGATGCTGACACTATACTGTGGACGTATGATGCTTACTATGGTTCATCGTTTGTACTTTGTTGTATGTGAGGGCAGGGGCAGTATAAATTGTGAAGGAATTTATAGAAGGGATGATATTTTTAGCGGGTTTTCTTGATAAGAAATAATCTAAGCTCAAATATGAGATACTACACACTCAAATCTCACTTATTGGTTAACTCTAGAATTTAATTACAAATCAAACCTAGTTAAATATCTAGAACCTTCCCTCACACTCGCACCTAAGAACCACTCTTAAGAAATTAGGGATTTGGATAAAATAACATTACACTATTTCAGGTTTTTCACACAAGGGAAAACCTCACATTTTTAAACTTCATTTAGTATCATGTCCTACATCCTTGGATGGATACTTAAATAGGAAGAGAGAGTGCATCTTTTCAAATTACAATGATTAAAACAAAACAAAAACACGACTAAATGGAGAGGGATTTGTCGGTCTTGACTTAGGGAAAAGAGGGGTGAGGATTTTATTCACTTTCACATTACATCAATGAAAATAAAAAGTTCAAAGACTAAAAAAAGTTGCATGCTCTAGTGCACATAAGTTACCGTACCAAATGGGAGCTTTTTAGCTAGGAAGCCACATACCTTAATTTTCAGTTTTTTTTAATTTGAATTTGAGTGAGGGGTATGGTACCCTGTAGAAAAAGCCCTAAAGCAATGAGAGTGGTATATTTCAAAAAGTATTACTATTCATCAAAGACTCTATTTTAGGGTAGGAAATGTGGTACTTTATGGTGTTATTCATGGTTAAGTTGTATAAAATACTACATATAAAGGTAGTTTTTGTTGTATTAGGATGTATAGCATCATGGATCCAATATATATAACATGCTTGCTATTATAACAAGACCATTGGTATCTTATAGTTTGTGTACCTCGAAACTATTGAAATGATGCACTCTTACTGAAGAGTAACCTGCACCTATTTTGACTTTATTGTGCAGTTTGTGGCTTTCCATGCTTTGCCAATATCCTCAGGGCATAGGAAACTAATACTATCTTTTTTTTTATATACTAGGTTTGTAAGATGGTGGGCTGTGAGCTGAGGAGTTTCTCTTTATCACTTTGCATTGAAGAACGGAGAGATGGTCAACGGTTGGTTATCAGCTACCCTATGGTCATGGTGTTATAAACTAGTCAGTAATAAGGCATAAAACCCCATTGGTTTAATGTGCAGCTTTGTTTCTTTGTTCTGGCAATAAAAGGTTGTGTAATATGTAACCTTGTTCGAAATGTAAGGGATATGAAGTTGAAATGTCCCATTTTACATTCTATGATTCCTTTCGTGAATAACAATCGTATGTGTATAAATACTACCCCAATCATATAACGAAGTACACCGTACTTTTTATTTTCCAAGATGACAATAATAGTTTTCGTCTGTTGTAAGTGTAACTCATACGAACTGATTTCTCGTAAAATAGAAGTTAACCACCCCTTGAAGGTTAGTTTACTATGAGTATTGGAGTGAGCGGAGGAAATGACCTAATGACTAATTTTTCCAACAAGGCAAAGGTTAGGACAAGTTGTGGAAGTCTAGTCGGTTGGATTTAGAGAGTGATTTGACATTACATCTTAGTGAGTTGGTGTTTCTTTTTACTTAAGAGCTGATTTATAAGTTGTTTATAACTCAGAAAAAATAAGTAAGTTTTACATACTTATTTTTATGTAATTTTTTTTTTGTTTTGACCAGATTATTTACAAATCTATTTGTTGCCATTTATGAATATTCTCAAATGACATATTTACCATTTAAGTCATTTTGCTTCCACAAGAGAATATTTAACTTATATTATGAACAGTTTATAAGTCAAAAATTGCTTATTAGTCAATAAGCACCCATACAGAGTAACATCTCATGTAATATTTTTTAGATGTGTAATGGTAGTTTATTTAGTATGTGAATACTTAATTATCCATTAAAAATGGTCCTACATTATTTCTCTACACTGAATTGACTATTAACATATACTCCGCAGAAATTTGTTCATTTTTATACCGTATAATAAGATATATTTTATAAAAACTAGCCGTAGTATACTTACATGTACTCATATCCATATTTTAAAAGTTGACATATGCATGACCAGATTATTAGTCGTTTAGAATTCTTGAATTAATCGTTTCTGTCATTTTATTTCTCGTTTTAAAAACGAGTTAAAATGTTAAATAAGTTATTCAAATGAATTTGTAACTTGTCTATTTTGATAATAATATATATGCTCATTTCAAGAATGTGGGAACCTAGGAAGAAAGAATGCGAGCATATTTTAAATGAAAATAGGAGTAAATGAGAACTTTAAGGAAGAATGACTAAAATATAGGGGTAAAACATGTTAAATATACCTAAATAGGAGTCAAACTTAATCTCTCGATGTATCGTTTTGAAAACGCGTGTTGTTCATTCTGAAGCAATGTACTGTTTACTTTTACGTATTTGTTCATTACAATTATAATATTTATTTATGAACAATGTACTGTTCATTCCAAGCCTACTCAGCACACAGTTCATTCTAAAATAAGTTAATTAATCATGATGTGCGATACATCTGATTGTACCATATAATTTAACGCTTGCGAAGAAAAGATCAGATTTTAATTTTTTGAGCAAGGTAAAATTGTAAATGGTGGTCCTATTTCTATTTTCTAGGATAAAAAGATCAGGGTCTTATTTTGGGTATAACATCTATGTTTTTTGTCATAATTACGATGATGTCTTAGATTTTGATATGGAAAGACAGAAAAATAGTAATACGGAGTAAGTGTATTCTCACCACCACGTAGTTTAATACATTGCTTGCATTTATGGCCTTGTTTGGGAAGAGTATTTTCAATTAGCGTTTTAAATAAAATTTTAACAGTAGATTAACTATGAAAATGCTAAAGTTAAAGGCTACTGTCTAACACAGATGCCAAACGGGGCTCGATAGATCTCATTCTGAATTTATTATTCAATTTATCTCTTCCTAACGTTTATTTATTTATTTACTTAGGGAGTACGTATTTATTTATTTATGGCTTGCATTTCGGTCGTGTGGTTGGATTAGATTGTTGGGAATTGAAATAAGACAGCTTGACAATTTACCGTACGAATAATGCTAGAGTCACAAACAAAGCAATCACAAAATACACAAACTTACTATTTGTGTATTTTTGTTTTTATTTTTTAATTGTTTGAGGCCATTAGTTCAAACCATTACTTTACATATTGGGTAAGTTTGTGTATTTTGTGAACATTTAGTTTGTGAGTCTAGCATTACTCTTACCGTACTTTTCACCGCAACTCCATACCTCCAATGAGGTGGCTTTTGTTTGTTTTGCAGAATACTTTGGTTATTTTAATTGATTTTAATTTTTACATTTAAACTCATAAAAATATATTTCAGTTTTCTAACTGTATCACCCTAGTTAGCTTTAAAAAAAAATATACTCCTTCGTATTAAATTCACGATTGTGTTTTTCCAAGCGTCCTACTCCGTAATTAGTAAACTCAGAGTCACAAATTTATCGCCACACTCAAAACTCTCAATTTCGAGTTTTGGCAAAGAAGCCTTAACTTAATTATCATCGCCGGATAACAAATAAAGAATAATACAGTATTAATTAGTACCTTAAATACAATACATATTTATGATAAATGTAAATAATATTTCACCATCGACAATTCACATGCAGCCTAAAACAAGATCGATAGTGCTTAATTAAATTCTTACTTAAAAAAATAATGTTTAGTTCTAAACCATTGGAGAAGAGCGTTTCTGATTTCCTCCACCACCACCGCCGCCGCCACAAGGGATGGCAACTAAGCATTGTGGGTTGTTATTGCGGCAATCTTCATAGACATAGTCAATATTGGTGAAGCTGAAACCTTGATGCTCAAAAACACACTTCTCCAAGCACTCGTCGTTCCAAGACGTACACCCCCCTTCCTCTACTTCTGCTGCATATCCTTCCCACACTGAATTATTCATAACAATACATTGGATCAAAAACACCAACAAAACTCCAGCACAATGCTTCTCCTTCACCTTCTTCCCCGTCGTCATGTTTCTAGTTCATCTTTCTCCTCGTCCCAACAACCATATATATATATACTCTACATAATAACGGAACAGAGAAACATTTAATTTACATTATGTATGTACGTATCAAAAGAAACGGTCATTAGTTTCTTAGACTTGGTATATACATTGAACACGGAATACGAATTAAACCACGTAACTCAGCATTTATTTATTATTTGGGATTAACAGCACCAAAACTATATTCGGGTTGGCATTTAAGGAGGCTGACTGTAACAATATAATGCACTAGAAAAAAAGGTTAAAATCTGGGGGGGGGGGTCCATTGTCCATACAGATAATGTATTCAGCAATGTTATGTCTTTTGCATTTTCATTTCATACTCATGTAAACGAGAGAGACCATAAATGTTCGAAAAGCAGAAGGGGTTTTGCCGGTTGTGGGACTTCGCTAGAGTTTGGTCAGTAGAAGTACCCAAGGACTTGACCACCGACGTTTTGTCGAACTGCTTCTTCATGATCCAAAACTCCATTTGGTGTTGTTATCACAACATAACCCCACTGCATGGCAGGAACATATTAGTCCTCAAAACGAAATGAATAAAGGGTATAACAGACACTGTTACATCAACAAAAATATGAGATATGAAGTCAACAAATATCAGTAATATCTCCGTAGTTTGTTTTGAATTCCAACATATTCAAGTGCATAAACAGTTTGCAGTCATGACAATTGTTGGATAAATCAGTAGAAGAAGCCAAATCATACCAGAAAGGGAGGAGATTGCATGATGTGGACACATGTTGCATTTTTCTTGTTAATCTCACAAATAAGCTCATGATGTTGATAAAGCAAGCTTAAGCCAAGTTTACAGAAAACACCCCCCAAGTTCCTAGAAGTTGACAGCAAATTGATTCAAATGTAGCAAATACCTAAAAGTTAGCTTAGAGTGGCCAGTCATGGATCTTCTCTTACATTATTCATCCTTCCCTCTCTTCCCCTAAACAATCTCATGAGTAGTCATGACTCATGACTGGTTGAAATCTATCTTTAAGCACCTTGTTTTTACTTTTCAAATAGAGAGCTTGATGAAACCTTTTCAATCCTACTTGCAATTTTCAATTATAGCTCATAATCGTTTATAAAAACTTCCATTGATCACTTCAATCATTAAATACACTACATTTATTGAGCCTGTATTTTCTCTCTTTTCTTGTTATTCTCCATGCCAGAAAAGAGTAAACTAGAACTTCGAAAGAGAACTTGGATTCACTTTTTTTTTATTTTTACATCTCCATTCTTTTTTGTCTATGTTATCTCTTGTGCCTCCTCAAATCTATGCTTTCTTAAATCATTCTTGCTTCTCCAATACACCAAATATTGATTGCTTCTCCTAATCGCTGTGTTTCAATACTAACTATAAACACAAAATACGGGTCCTATTGAACTGAAAACACATGCCCTGTATCTATCATCTGAACTTTGTTTTAATGTAGTATTGTATAGTGTGCATAATTTTCTTAATAATGTATTTAGTTCTACGCCTCTACTTGATGAGACACTTCATATGTTCTTTTTGAACAATTTGTGGTGTTCTGAATAAAAAGTACTTCCGCCATCCCACTGTTTTTGTCCCTTTTTACCTTCTTTCTATTTTCCCACCATTTTTGTCACGTATGGTCATATTATGTGAGATTCACATTCATTTTTACTAGAAATAAAATAATGAAGAAAAAAATCGCATTCGCTCTTACCCTATCTTACTTTTAAAAGATAAATATCAACCACACAATCTTACTTTTATTAACATCCGTGCAACTCCCTCATGACCCAAAAATAGTGGGATGGAGGGAGTACTAGATTAGAGATCCCTCCTAGAGATATCAGGCCCTTGTTTACTGCTGGATAGAGTTAATTGGTGTTTCTACATTACTGGTCCTTTTATGTAAAAAAACAAATAAATGAATATTACTAGAGGACTAAAACATCATTTACACTCCCTCCCTTGGCATGAAAAGTGTGTTTTGTGTTGAGCTTTGAACAAAGAGGAGCAGTATTTCTTTGTGCTCTAAAATACTTTTGACTTGCATGGATTAACAATGGTTCAGTTAACACATCTACACTCAATAAGAAAATACAACTCTACATATAAACAAGTTGGACAAAGTACAAGACGAATGGACAAGTGGCACATCAATAAGCAAGTTATTAGTCAAATTATGTTACAAATGGTCTAGTACCTATTCTACAATGAAATCAAAAAGATCATAAGAAAGAACACAAACCTGACGGGTTGGTAATGTACGTTTTGCATAACTTTCAATGTTCTGAGCCTTGATATCTTGTCTATGCGAGAGAGCACG